CCCCCCCCCTGGCCAGCCGCCCCGGGGGCTGGCAGCAGTGGCGTGGAAGCTGGCCAGGCTCGGCCAAGAGGTGTGATCCAGTTATGCCCCCGCTCCCGGCTGCTCTGCCTGATGCTCCCCAAGGTTTTGGCTCCGGCAGGGAAGTGACCCGGGGCTGTGGCAGCCCAGGGCGTGCCTGTGGCTGGCACTCACACCCCAGTTCTCCTCCGCTGCCTCGGGGAGCACGTCTCCTCGTCCACACCAGCGTGGGCGGCTGGCAGAGCTGTGCCGTCCTCAGTTCTCCACCTCTCGCCCAGGATCCAGGTCCCCAGCACAGCCTGGAGACACACCCTGGCGCTGGGAGCACTGGCTGCGGGCTGGTGGGGGAAGCTATGAGGGACGTGCTCGGGTCTGGGTACCGACGGAGCCTCGTCCATCTTGCCTGGATGTGCCTGATCTCCTCCGTGACGGTAAGGGGCAAGCTGGGGCTGGCCCATGGGGCAGCTGGGTTGGCACTGCTGGGCTTTGACCCGTTGCGAACGGGCTCGGTCCTGGCTTTGTCACACGTTCCTGCCTGCCTGGAGGAAGCCGGCACACAGCAGTTCATCGGGGGGATGCAGGCAGCCGGCGTGGGGAGACGCCGGGTGCCACAGTGGGGCGGGCAGGCCAGCACGGGCTCCGTGCCCTGGTGTGCAGCGGCCAGCCGGAGGCTCTGACCCAGCTCTGGGCTTGCAGCACGGCGGGGCCAAGGTGCTGGAGAAGACCTTCGAGGAGTGGATGCGGTACCGCGATGAGTGCTTGAGGAGGATGGCAAGCGAGCCCTACCCGGCAGGTACCCGGCTGTGCCCCAGCTCGGGGTCAGACGTGGGGACATGCGGAGCTGGGCGACGGCTGGGGCTGGGTTTTATCCCTCCTTCAGCATCCTCTGCGCTGGTCGCCTACAGAGGGATGAGCCAGGGGCTGACGGGTGTCTCCACATCTCAGGTGGGATGCCCAGGGCTGGGATGCCCTAGGGGCCCGAGGCTGGCGTGGGGCGCCCGGGCCCCGTTCAGGGTGATGCCAGCCCCTTTGGAGGTGCTGGCAGCTGGCTGGGGTGGCGGGGGAGGGTGGGGGCGGGGCGCCGCGCGTCTGACCATCGGCTTTTCCCCCCCTCGCTGCTGTTGGAAGGGCTCTTCTGCAACCGGACATTTGACATGTACGCCTGCTGGCCTGACGGGAGCCCTGGCACCGCTGTCAACGTCTCCTGCCCCTTCTACCTGCCCTGGTTTGAGAAAGGTGATGATGACCCTCTGCTACCCCGGAGCTGGAAGCCAGGGCTGAGCCATGCCGGGGGGGAGAGGCTCTCGGGGTTTCCCCTCCTGCCCGTGGGAGAGGGACCCATGGGCAGACCTGGGGGTAAGGGGACACGTGGGGCACGGAGCAGAGCCAGCTCGTGCCCGGCTTGCACCTGCCCTGGAAGAGGGTCTTTGGGGCTGAGTAGAGTCCGACCCATCATCCCAGGAGAGGGGTTTGGGGGACCCCGAGGGAACACACCGGTGCTTCGTGTCCGCAGTGAAACACGGGCTGGTGAGCCGCAGGTGTGGTGCCGACGGGCAGTGGGTGACGGTGAATGGCAGCCAGCCCTGGCGGGACTACTCGCAGTGCGAGGAGGAGATGGAGTCCACCATGGAGGAGGTGGGATGCCCCGGCCCGGCCGATGACGGGCAGGGATGGGCAGGGGCACCCTGGCTGCACAGGCGGGTGCTGCTTGCCCGGGCTCACCGGGACGGTGCTTGCTGCAGGAGGGTGCCCGCCGGCTGATGGTGAGCTTCAAGGTGCTCTACACCGTGGGGTACTCGCTGTCGCTCCTGACCCTCGCCT